ACTTCATCCGACGCGCCGAAGGCCAGAGCGTTCTGCGCGGCTGCCGAGCAGCCCGGACAAAGCCGGCTGGCGCCTGGCATCCCGCCGTATAGTGCCGTTTGGGAGGGCACCTCTGCACTGTGCGGGCCTGTCCCGTCACACTTGCTCAAGAACTTCCAATGGAGTTCCTCCTACTTAACTATCTGTCCTTCCTTGCATAATCACTCCAATTACATAATCATAGTGTAACGGTTCATTTCAGTTTAGAAAGCTACACATTTGAACACTTGTATTTATCCATGTGGTAGTGGGTGTGTCCTTTTTGTCCTGTTTGGAAAAGAATTATATGTAGATAGCATGAACATACTGTGATAGTACATGGTGCTTATACCGGTAGCATGTTGGCCTCCAAGGATTTCAAAGTTTATTACAGCACCCCCATTAAGTTAGATAAATATTATCAGAAATAGATTGGTATACTGAGACATAAAACATTATTGACCCAATCTTCAGATGTATTGTTCACCTATAGATTGCCTTTCCATCTTTGTTCTGCAATTCATTTTTAAGACCTCTGAACTATACAATTGAATTTTATATTGCCTATTAGACTATGAAAAAACCACAGCGTTGTGTTAAATGTCTTATTATAAGACACAGATCCCCTTTTCTCATACACAGTGGAGTAAATTGAAGACATAAGTGTTTAAGTGATCTTATTTCCATCCTTTAAACTGTAATTATTAAAATTACAAAAATATCTTCAGATAAAAGCTCTCAATCTCTGGAGCCCTGTTCTAGGAAAGTAGCCCAGCAAATGCACAGTGCATGAAAGGACTACAGACTACAGACAAACATAAATTAACTCAAAGCTACAATTTTGCAGCAATTAGTAATATGTACAAATGGGAGCAAAGGATGGCTTTGCCTCTGCAGAGTGTTTAAACATTAATGTTACTATACAACAAAATTAATTTGGATTCACAGGGGGATGCTGATTAAAGTAAAAGGAAGTAACATAAAAGCTATAATTTTTCTGCTCAGGCTTTTTACCACACCACCAAAAAACAAAGGTTACATCTACACTGCAGGCTTCTTGCACAAGAACTGTTTTGTGCAAGAGTTCTTGCAGAAAAGGTCTTGTGCAAGAGCGTGTTCACACTGCCATGTGCTTTTGCACAAGAGATGTGCTTTTGCGCAAGAGTGTCCATGGCAGTGTGGATGCTCTCTTGCACAAGAAAGCTCTGATGGCCATTTTAACCTTAGGGGTTTCTTGCACAAGAAACTCCAGTTGCCCGTCCGCACTGCCTTCTTGCGCAAGAGCTCTTGTGCAAGAGGGATTATTCCTCATGAGGAAAGGAATAATACTTGCGCAAGAAGCCTTCTTTTCTGATGCTTTACTGTAAATTTACTTGCGCAAGAACACACATGCAGTGTAGACACTCCGCAAGTTTTTGCGTAAGAACAGGCATTCTTGCACAAAAAGCCTGCAGTGTTGACGTAGTTAAAGAATATAGAGCTGGGAAAGAATCCAGGCTGTAGTGGGGCAGCTGCCCTACTGTGGCAAGGGAGGGGTTAAAACCAGGCTGCTGGAAGCCTGTGCAAACCCCTCCAATCACAGAGAGGCTCATAGGGAGCCAATCAGAGGGTAGCTTGCTGGATCAGCCCTGTTTATAAGAAGCTGCTCAGCAGAGCATAGGGCAATGGGGTACAGGAAAGGGGAAAGAGGGAAGCTACTTTAGGTGGAGCAGTGCTAAGCAGGCTCAGGGGATGGGGAGAGAAGACCCTGCCTGATATGTCCCAGATTGAGGGCCTTGATGCAGGGGCTGAGAAGATGCTGGGGTAATGGGGAAATGGCCCAGGGAACATTGAGGGCAGTGAAGGGGGAATGAAGGAGAACAGAACAAGGCTACCACCTTGGGCCAGGACCCAGAGTAGTGGTGGGACTAAGTCCCCGTCTTTCACTACATCTTGCTGTTAAGGAGCTTGGTCTGTACAGACTATGACTTGCCCTTAAGGCAAGGGACTAGATTTTGAGGCTGCAGTTGGCTGTTCAGGCAGGTGTAAGGACTGAGGATTGTTGATATCCCTAGAAAGGGATAGAATATAGTGGTGGACGCTTCTGGAAGACAATGTTCTGTGTGACAGACCCAGGGCAGCTGGCTACAATAGTTTGTTGGAGGGTAGACATACTGGGAGCTGTGTGAATGCTTTTTTGTTTCCTGAATAAACTGCCAAAGCCTGCTGCTACATAATCAAGGCAGGCACCTGAGACTAATTAGCCTGCTGCTTCAAGCAAGCTCTTAATCAGGTACCTGCAGCCAATTAAGGCCTGTTGGGTTACTTTAAAAGGTTTTCCCTCAGGTAAGCGTGGGGAAAGGAGAAAAGTGAGGGACTGTGTGTGTGGCTGAGAACTGAGAAAGTGCTGAAGCAGGGAAGATTTGCTCAGGTAGCAGGGTGACGTTATCAGCGGAGTGTTTGAGGAAGTGGCCCAGGGAAAAGGCTGCTTTACTGGAACTAGAGGAAAATCCCTGTCAGTTGTTGCTCCCTGGGTCAGAACCTAGAGTGGTGGGTGGGTCCAAGTTTCCCCCAACCCTCCCCATGCCACTAAATGTTTTGCTCCTGGAAACAGAGGCTAGGATTATGGAGAGGTTTCATCCCCAGTACTTTAACTTCATCAATGGTGAAACCGGCTCAGTAAGCTGTGGCTCTGGCCTCTAGAAAAGATAAGAGGCAATGGGGAGGGTCACAGCAAGCTTTGAGGCATACAGTAACCTCCTAGAAGTGTAGGACCCATGGGGCACAGCTGGGCTACGTCTACATTGGCATGATCTTGCGCAAATACTCTTTAACGGCAAGAGTTCTTGCGTTAAAGTATTTGAGCAAGAGAGCGTCTACACTGGCATGTGCCTTTGCACAAGAGATGTGCTTTTGCGCAAGAGTGTCCATGGCAGTTTAGGCGCTCTCTTGTGCAAGAAACCTCCGATGGCCATTTTAGCCATCAGGCTTTCTTGCACAAGAAATTCATGTTGCCTGCCTACACTGGCCTCTTGAGCAAGAACAGTTGCACAAGAGGGCTTATTCCTGAGCAGGAGCATCATAGTTCTTGCGCAAGAAGCACTGATTTCACACATTAGAACGTCAGTGTTCTCGCGCAAGAACTCCCCGCCAGTGTAGACAGGCAGCATGTTTTTGCACAAAAGCAGCTGCTTTCGCGCAAAATCATGCCAATGTAGACACAGCCCAAAGCAGAGCAATGACAGGCAAGACACTGGCCAGAAGGTAATACACTCCAAGAAACTGAGCTGATTGATAGTGTGACCAGTAGGAGGTACTGTGGCAGTGAGTTGATCCCACTACAAAGGCAATACAAGTTTAGATTGATCTTTCACACCTATTTTCCATTGCCGTTTGAAACTGTGTAGATTGGTGTAGTGTTAGCCTACACCACATTTCATCTTCAAAATTAGTAATAAGATTCATTTTTAAGGTGCAGCTCAGCTGTTCCTCCCCATTCACTGAAAAATCAACATGAACAGTTAGAGGGGAGAAAATCTCTGAGGGTCTCCCATGGACTGTCCTTCAAATTGTACTATGGGCTGGGATTGGAGGTAAGGCCAGCCAAGGAATTAGTGGGAGATGTGGCTGCATGACAGCTCACCTCCAATGGAGCCATGCTGATGAGGATTCCATAGCTGATGACTGGCCCTGGGCACCCACATGTTGGTGGGGAGGATCTCTCCAAGATGGGGCATAACAAGATCATGGTACTATGGTTATATTATCCTCCAGGGGGTCCCTGCATGGTCAGTTAGGGAATGACGTGCACACATCAGGGGAGCACTGCCATGTGTGGTTCTTGGGGGTACAAACAGGCCCTGTGATTGTACTTTAAGATGCAATGTTCTTGACAGGAATAGCCTGCCAGTCATGAGGCAGTGTTCTCATGAATGTGAGATCTGTTCCCAACTTCTCCCTCTCCACTCTGTCTTGCACTTAACATAGGTGTGACAGGTACTATATTGGTTGACACTCTGGGGATTGCCATGAATATCTGCAGGATGATCTAAAGACTAAGGCTCTGTAATAACTCTCAGACTCTGTGGATGATGCACAGACACAGAGGCTATGTCTAGACTACATCCCTTTTTCGGAAAAGGGATGTAAATTAGACGTAACGCAATTGCTAATGAAGTGGGGATTTAAATCTCCCACACTTAATTAGCATAAAAATGGCTGCCGCTTTTTTTCAGCACGGAGCTTTGCTGGAGAAAAGCGTCAGTCTAGACACTGATCTTTCAAAAAATAAAGCCTTTTCCGAAAGATATCTTATCCCTTATTTCAAAAGGGATAAGGGATCTTTTGGAAAGGCTTTATTTTTTGAAAGATCAGTGTCTAGACTGACGCTTTTCTCCAGCAAAGCTCCGTGCTGAAAAAAAGCGGCAGCCATTTTTATGCTAATTAAGTGTGGGAGATTTAAATCCCCACTTCATTAGCAATTGCGATATGTCTAATTTACATCCCTTTTCCGAAAAAGGGATGTAGTCTAGACGTAGCCAGGGGGTATGTGTAACACACACTGGCTACTGGGTGTTATAACCCCTACATAAATTAAAAGTAAAAATTCCCATTGGGCAGTCTTTGGTCAGGGAAAACTCCATCCATTTCAGTAAGGAGTGCAGGATTGGATCCAGTATAACTACAGTATCTAATATGGAAGAAACTGGCTTATTATTTTGTCTATTTTAAATCTATCCAAAGGGATACACAAACTAGCAAAATGCAAACTAGATGGAGCTACTATAAGGAGAGTACAAAACTGTCTTGAAAACTGTATCCAGAGAATAGTTATCCATGGTTCACAGTCATGCTGGAAGGGCACAATGAGTGGGGTCTGCAAGAATCAATTCTGGGTCCAGTTCTGTTCAGTGTTTTCTTCAAAGATTTAGATAATTGTATAGAAAGTACATATATAAAGTTTGTGGATGATATCAGGCTGGGAGGGTTTGGAAGTGTATTGGTAGCTAGGATTATAATTCAAGTGATCTGGTCAAACTGGAGAAATGGTCTGATGTAAATAAGCTGAAATTCAATAAGGACAAATGCAAAGTACTCGTCTTAGGAAGGAACAATGAGTTGCATGCATATAATATAGGAAATGACTACCTAGGATGATGTACCAGCTGTCATCTTAAACCACAAGCTAAAAATGAGTCAATAGTGTAACACTGTTGCAAAAAAAGTAAACCATTCTGGGATGTATTAGCTAGTGTTATAAACAAGACATAAGAATTAATTCTTCCCGCTCTACACTGCACTGACTAGAGTACTGTATATTCAAAACTAGAGTATTGTGTCCAGTTCTGAGCACCACATTTCAGGAAAGATGTGGACAAATTAGAGAAAGTCCAGAGAAGAGCAACAAAAATGATTAAATGTCAAGAAAACATGAAGTAAGATTGAAGAAACTGGGTTTGTTTAGTAAGGAAAAGAGAAGACTGATAACCAAGGGGACATAACAGCTTTCAAGTACCTAAAAGACTGTTACAAGGAGGAGGGATAAAAAAATATTCTTCTTAACCTCTGATAGGACAGGAAGCAATGGGCTTAAATTGCAGCAAGGGAGTTTAGGTTGGACATTAGGAAAAACTTCCTAACTCTCAGCATAGTTAAATACTGGAGTAAATTGCCTAGGAGATTGTGGAATCTTTGTCATTGGAGATTTCTAACAGTCTGTCAGGATTGGTCTAGATAATACTTTAGCCTTGCCATGAGTGCAGAGGACTAGACTAGATGATCACTTGAGGTCCCTTCCAGTTCTTTGATTTTTTTTTGACTATGTGCTGACAAACATCATAGTTAATATTGAAGTATAACTTTTAAAAGCTGAGATGCTGACTTTATAAAATGTGCTCTTGAGCCAAGATCTTCCATCCAAAATGTAATCCAGTATGATTTTAATAGCCATGCTATAAATAATTGAAATTTAAATGTTTCCATTAGCCATGATGAGAGAACCTAAGCACAACAGTGAGGGTGTGTCGTTAAAATAGCAGAAAGTATAGAAATACGCAGTGGTGTCTTTTGTTAGCAGAAAAATATAAATAATAGACCCATATTCCAGCTGAGTATATGCTGATTTCTTCCAGGCTTTGTTCTGCTTTGGCACATGTCATCTGATGAACACATACACTTACTATGCAAAATAACCTATGTCAGCAGAAACCTTCCATGGAGCTCCATTAATTTCACATGGGCATCAGGTCAGCTGAAATAAATCATCTTGCATGATTAAGAATTGCCTTACCACTAGCTTTCATACTGTAAATTTTAACTGATTTATTATTATTAAATATTATTCACCACATCTTTTCCCTACCAGAATCCAGACACACGTGTACTCTCTCTTGTTCTTTCTGAAATCACACCAGTTATACTATGAGTAGGACCCTCCATGGCTGCAGAGAAGACAGTTTGTTTCCCCCTATAACCTTTGTGCTATACTGTACACAAGATTCATGAAAGCATGAAGCCCAAAGGGTTGACAAGCACAGTGATTCTGACCAGTGCAACTATAGCAAAAGTACCTGAAGTCTGGTTACAATGGACAATTTAAAGGGTTCACTGTCATGGAGGAAAGGTCCAAAATGTCACCTACTTTAAAATTAACCTTTGCATTTTTAGTAGTTCCATGACCCTGCATTCCTGAGTGATCATGTTCACTTGACCGTGTTCCCATTAGCTCTTTGCTGCTGCTGTATCACTCATGTCTGTGGCAATAATCTCTCATTCACTTTTACAGCTCCCTGCCATCTGAAGAGATCAAACGCTTTACAGAAATCAGTGGGTTTAGCTTTACAGCATGCGGTGAAGTTCTGTAGTCATGTTGCCATTTTAGACCCTTCAAAGAAGTCTTCAAGTACAGATCCTTAAAGCTACAAAGTCCCAATATGTTTTACCCAAGTTATACAAAGTGGGTGCGTCTAGACTGGCAAGGTTTTGTGCAAAAGCGACTGATTTTGCATAAAAACTTGCCAGCTGTCTACACTGTCCGCTTAATTTGCACAAGAGCGCTGACGTTCTAATGTAAGAATTCAGTGCTTCTTGCGCAAATACTTTGATGCTCCTGTTCAGGGATAAGCCTTCTTGCGCAAGAATACTTGCGCAAGAGGGCCACTGTAGACAGACACCTTAATTTTTGCGCAAGAAAGTCCGATGGCTAAAATGGCCATTAGAGCTTTCTTGCGCAAAAGCGCGTCTATACTGGGCACAGATGCTTTTGCGCAAAAGCACTTTTTGCACAAAAGCATCCGTGCCAATCTAAATGCTCTTTTGCGGAAATACTTTTAATGGAAAAACTTTTCCATTAGAAGTATTTCCGCAAAATCATGCCAGTCTAGACGCAGCCAATGTGTTTGTCATAGAGCTGGGAATTAAATGGTCTTCTGACTCACAGTCATGTGCCTTAACCTCAAATGTATTCTTTCCTTGAGAAACAGGTAGGAGTCACTGGGCAAGTGCCCCTTCAGAGGGATTTGTGGTCTTGCTGACCTACGATGGATCTCTGAACACCACTTGGTAGCAGTTAAGTTCTCCAAGGGTATGTCTAGACTACGTGCCTCTGTTGCCAGAGGCATGTAAATTAGACTACCCGACATAGTCAATGAAGCCAGGATTTAAATATCCCTGGCTTCATTCAAATAAAAATGGCTGCCACGCTGTGCCGGCTCAGCTGATCGTCAGCACAGCACAGGAGTCAAGACACGGATCGGTCGACAAGGGAAGCCTTTGTTGACCACTCCCTTATGCCTTGTGAAATAAGGTTTACTGGAGTGGTCGACAAACACTTCCCTTGTCAACTGATCCGCGTCTTGACTCACACACTGTGCCGACAATCAGCTGAGCTGGCACAGCACGGTGGCCATTTTTATTTGAATAAAGCCAGGGATATTTAAATCCCGGCTTCAATGACTATGTCAGGTAGTCAAATTTACATGCCTCTGATGACAGAGGCATGTAGTCTAGACATACCCTAAAAGTGGCAACTTATTGGCCAATTAGCAATGGATTACCTGATCCCTATAAGAAGCCTTCCCAGACAGGAAAGGGAAAGTACCTTTCGAGATGACCAAGGCCTGGGAGGTCAACAAATGCCTTTGATGTCGACCGCGGAGCGTCCAGACTACCGCACTGAGCCGACAAACAGCTGATCGGCTCAGCGCGGCAGCCATGTAAATTTAAATGAAGCGGCGATTATTTAAATCGCCGCTTCATTTTCCTATGCTGGGTAGTCTAATCTACATGCCTCTGTCACCAGAGGCATGTAGTCTAGATGTACCCTATGACTGTTTCTAAAAGTAAGGTTTATTTGTGTCAGCCTCCATTACTAATAAATGAAGCCTTCTGGGGAAAACAAGACAAAAGCTTGTTTTGAAATAGTTTAAACTGGTCAAAAGGGAAACTGAGGTGCAATCCCAAGCAGGGATGTTAAATATTGGTTAATTGAATAGTCAAGTATCCTCATGAATTCTTATAGGTTAGTCAATTGTTCTATAGTCCATGGGGATGGGACTGGCAGCCAGTATGCTCTGGCTCACTCCCAAGAAGACCCCTGTCACTTCATGCTGCTGCCACTGTATCAGGGTGCCAGATGGGAGCTGGTCTGTGAGGGGAGCCACTTTAAAAAGTAGCTCCCCTTGTGGACCAACTGTCTATCACCCTGTGTTGCTGCCTCTGATAAAGAGGCAGTGGTGCAGGGTGGCAGCAGCCCCTATCTAAGGGGTGGTCTGAGCTCCCAGACCTGGCACAAGCCACAAGCAAGTTGGGCTGCCTGCCCACCCAGCTCCTAATGTGCCTTAAGTGCAGAGCCACAGCGGAGGTAGGTCCCGGACCCATCACAAGCCAGGACTAAGCTGGGCTGCTGGCCAGCCTGCTAAAAAATGTATGGGCAAGTGGGAAAAGTGTGTAGTCTATCAGGGGCAGATGACCGTTTTGCGGGGCCCCGGGCAGCATAATTCTGCGGGGCCCCCCCTTTGCCACGGCGCATGTGCAGTGACGCCATGCTCATGCGTAGCGGCGCCACGGCGCATGCGCAGGGCTTTCTGAAGCGCGGGGCCCGGGGCAGCCGCCCCGTTCGCCCTGCCCTATATTCGCCCCTGTAGTCTATAGCATTAACCTATAAGCTTTTGCTTATTGGTTAATTGGTCAATCGACTACACTTTTACATCCCAAATCCCAAGGAAGACTCTTGAAAGCTAGGACACTCTCTCTCTTCCAGAGATTTTCACATAACATTTCAATATACAGCCTGCTGATTATTTTTTAAAAAAAAGGGAGCAGGTGGACAAAGCAAGGAGCGAGGCAAGTGGAATCAATCTGTAAACCAGAAGAGTGCTGGTATAATTTTTAGCCACAACAAGCCTGGAATACTAAGGCATAATATTTTAGTTCACTGCATTTAATTTAATACCTTTTCCTTTAGACACAAGCTACGTATTATGCAAAATTAGCAACAAATTAAAGTACCTCAGGTCTTAACTGCTTGAAGCTGCTGCTTCTCACTTAAAATCCCTCATGCAATATTTTTCAGGCTAATCCTAATTTTCAGGGTTTTTTTCCCTGTATCATGTTGCTTCGTTGTCCAGGTTCTTGCTGTCCTGTAAATGAACTCCCCTCCCCCCACTTACTCCTTTCAGAATAGATTCCGGAGGCCTACTGAGCCTTCAAGCCTACCTGTTAACATCCTCTCCTTCACACTTGCTCAACTAGCCAGCTGTTCTTTCTATGAAAATACAGCTGTAAAGTTTTATAAATAGTAAATTAAAGCTCACTCTCCCATTCCAGCTGGCCAACATTGTTAGTGAGTAATACATCATTAGAGAGTCATTCCTCCATTGATGTACTGCCCACCAGCAACATGCTGGCAAGGGAAGCTAGAAAGTACATGCTTTCCAAGGCTCAGAAACAGCCCTTTTAATTTAGAGTTTAAACTCTTTTTCAGAAATAATTTTGCAAAAATAATCTAACAAGCCAAGGAAGTGTCAGTGACAGAATGCTAACAGACAGGTATCCTCAGGCCTGCCTTCCTAAGTATTTTCTTATTAGGGGAAAAAGCTGACTCTACCAGATGTCTGGAAGCAGTGAGACAGTTGCCTGCAATTTCTAAAAGGGGTTTTGGGGAGAAGTATTTCTCCCAGGTCCTATGAAAACATTAATCTCAGGAGAGAATTGCTGTGCCCAAGCAAACTTGTTCTCTGCCCAATGAGAGGTCATAATGAATATGAGAGATGAGTATGAATGATTAGTATGTTTAATGTTTTACTTGAGCATCTTTTTCTTTGACAAGTGTGTAAAATACAGTATGCTTCTTTATGCACACAGCAGAGACCAGGGACAAACAGAGGAACGTTTAGATAGCTAAGTAGAGAGTACAATAAGTGACACTTCTGTTTATCTAAATTGTCTAACAATATTTTTAATATAGAAGTTAATGCTTCACAACTCACTTTCTTTATACAGCCTGTCTCCGACTTACAAACCGGTTACAGACCAAGCAGTTGGTTGTAACTCGGTTTGTTCGTAAGTTGGACCCCATTGAGTTACACGCGACCGCGCTGTTCGTAAGCGCGGATCATGTTCATAACTTGGGGCCCGCCATTTACGACATTTTTAGTCGTAACTGCAAACGGTCGTAAATCGACCATTCGCAACTCGGGGACTGGCTGTACATAATATAATAAATAACGTGGCATGAGACTCAATCTTGCACCAGTCAGAGTTAATAGGAGATCTCCTACAACTGACTCAAATGGAGGCAGTAGTTGGGTCCCTAATATATATCTTTCTGAGGAAGTGGGTCTGGCCCACGAAAGCTCATCATCTAATAAACCATCTTGTTAGTCTTTAAAATGCTACATAGTGCTGTATTTTGTTTCCCTCAGGGGTGGCCTGTGGATGTAGGCAACCTCAGCAGTTTAATGCAGCGCCCAATGATGACGTCACGCCATTGAGGGTTATGGAGGTGGGGGCACCGATCGCATATTCCGCCTAGGGTACCAGTTGCCGGCAGCTCTCCTCGAGCCGCTCCTGCTTTCCCTTTCATCCCAACTCCTGCAAGACAGAATATCTGTGTGTACTTTTTTCCTTCTAAATATGCTTCCAAGGGAAGGAACATGTTTACATCTTGTTCTCCAGAGTTGTCTGATGGAACACAAATCTAACCAGCTATACAGTACTCTCCAACATGGTGGTAAAATCAGCATCATTCATTTGGACCAACAATGCATGCTCGCTCTGTCTT